GTGCCGACCCAACTACACCACCACGCGCATGCCTCGCGGCGGATATGCGCAGCAGCAAGAAGGTTTCGGTCATCCCTTGAGGGTGAGTCTAGCCCTGCTCGCCAGAAAGACCCCCCCCTTCACTACAACCCATGTCTAAGCAAAAGCTTGTCGAGGAGCGAGGGGAAGAAGGGAGAAGATTGAAACGCCAATTTGGCCTGATAATGTACAGCAGTAGCAAAGAAGGACAAAGCAGCAAGCAAAGAGAACATGAGAGCATCCGCTGGTGAAGCATCGACATGCAGGGCACACAAGTGGCACATCAATACCATTCATGGCCGCAGCAACTCTTCCTGCCGTGAATCACAAGAGACCTTGATTAACGCCTTTTCCTCTCGGATGCTTGTGTGTGGGGCATCAGGCCGAAAAATTATTACTTGCAAGCTTTGTTCTGCACTAGATCATGTTTCGCACCACCATCAGCACCGCAGACAACACCCCCCTCGAGATCGATGGCACCCTGGGCGCAATTGGCTTTTCTATGGTGCACACGCGCATACAGCATCGAAGGGTTTTAGGTTCGTAGTGCTACACCTTTGTCGAGATATGCGTACCATGGGCGTGCACTTCCCTGCTAAAGCACTCTTTTAAGTCCGGTAAATCTTGAGGCTTTTGGCGCGTTGGTCCCTGACTGATCCCCGGAAGCGCCGCTTTACTTGACGGTCTTCTTCTAGAGTATAGAAGTACATGTACCTGATGCTCCGGACAGCAGTTAGTCCGAAAACTACCGAACGGGTGCGTGTGTGTTCGTCTCATCATATAGTCTGGCGCTATGTAAATATACACACGCATGTCACGAGGATGAAACATGAAATGCAACAACAACTGGTGTAAGTGGCCCATCAAGGAGCAGCGGACCTGCTCCCTTCCCTTTTTTCCATACTTTGTTCCTCCATGACAACACCCAGCGTGAGTGCTCTATACATGGTAAAAAAAGGCGCGCATTATGCGTTGTGGGCGGGTGACCGAAGAGCAGTTGGCGGTTCACGTACGTCCAGGGAAAACCCTCTGTAGAGCAGTATCACTATTTATTATTCAAGCGCGGTATGCATACATACATGCAGGGCTGGGTGTCCCTACGTCCCTACATACATACGCGTCTTCCTCCCACGATATTTTTCGTTTGCACACCAGCCCACCAGCCCACACACCACCCTCCCCCACGCGCCACATCGCCAAGCACCACGGACACCATATTCAACAGCAGCCTCGTCGACGACATCCTGCTTTTGCGGGAACATATCCAAGTGTACATACTCCGCCCACCTCTTCTAGTGTCGCCGCCGAACTGCCAGCGCTTCTTGGACGCGGGTCATGCGCACACCGCTGCCCACGACAGCGTCCTTGCCCCCAAAGTCGCCCAGCACGGCTGACCTAAAAGGAACAGCGGGTTCAGCCCCGCTCCCACGGACCTCTTCCAAGACACCGCTGGGTTTTAAGCGCCGACGCAAGAAAAATATCCCCAGCTACGTACGCTGCTTCCTGTACGGCTATGCTAGCTTCCATGCTCATGATTCCAAGATCTGCGAAGACCATTATTAGCTCACGTAGCGGCAACGCCACCCCCCTCAACACTCCGGGAGAGGGATGGACGTCGACATCTGCAGCAGCCCCCCGGGTCTCGACGAGACACTCCGCCGGCTTTGACCTCTTAAGGGTCGTGGCCAAGAATTCCAAGAGTGTCCCGTAGGCGCCCCTCTACCGGCGGATGACTGCAACTAGATATGTATTCACGTGAGCATTGTTTTCGAGTTTAAACCCTGACCATGCGGATCTCTCGTTCGTTGTTGTCCTCTGGGTTGCTAATTTGTCTCTCGCCCGTTGTTATGCTCTGGTTTACTCGATAAAGGATACAAGACTTGATATTCTCATATATATTCAAGGTTAGGGACGAACAGCTCGGTATGAACAATTACCAGCTTGAAGCATGAGTCAACCATAGTGTCATTGAGTGAACTACGGAGCTCAATGAAATGCTTTTTGACGACAGGGGTTTTGTGTCGACCGCGTCTCCTCACTCCAACACTTCTCCAAGACACACACCTACAAACGCTACACCTCTTTGAATTCCTATGCATCAAAATGACATTCTTCAACATTCCTGGTTCTTTGCGATTTGTTGTTTTCCGTTTCCTCCCCTCGTATCGGGATAAAATGCCGAAACGCCGAAGAGCTCTGCTATTTAGGTGGGGGGGTTGAATGCCTTTTTTTGTTGTTGAAAAGGGTATACTGGGGATCTGGCATCTTTTTCATAAGTGAGCAGTGGCAATTGCTTCCCGCTCAAAGTGTGCTCCCGTCCGTCGAGATGGCAGCTGATTTCAGTGTTTGTTGTCCCCATCCATCTCCGCGGAATGCGCGCGAAACTTTTTTCTTTGGCCGCGCTAGGGTTTGATTCACCGCCCCCCCCGGTGTTTGCCATCGGGGTTCGGTTTTCGTCGCTTGGCAACGACGTTGTAAAGCAAGCCGCCGCCCCGGTGCAAGGTCAATGGTCTAACGACTACGGCATGCACGACTATAGGT